GACGGAACAGCCCAGTCTATAGGGGCTGGGAGCTGGGTGGCTCTCTGCTCCGACTCAGAAAGTAGCGAGGTTGAAGGGAGAGACCCGAGGGACGTGTGCATGCTTGCGAGCTTCAAGTTTGAGCGTCGGGAGGGAGAGATTTTCGATCTTCTTTCACACATAAAGCGCACCGGGTTATAAGCCGCACTGCCGGTTTTTGATAAAATTTTAGGATTTTAAGTGCGGCTTATAGTCGTGAAAATACGGTAGCCTACCCAACACTAGGAGTATACTCCCAACACCTTCCATGCTCACACACACACACACACACACACACACACACACACACACACACACACACACACACACACACTTTCCTGCCAGAACTGATAAAGCTTGGATAAGAAGCGAAACATCTTCAAGGAAAGATGTTCCTCAAGAAAAAACATAGTCCAGTTGTTGTTGGGGGCGGGGAATACCTTTCATTCAGATGTGAGCATTTGCTATTGAAATTGTGACTGTTGTTATGATCAGCTTTCCTTTGCTTTACAAACCTGAAAAGGTCATAAATGTGAGGGTGGCCATAAAGTTTTATATTCTTCAGTCTAACTGATGCTAAATGAGACACTAAATGAGACTACTTGTATTATGTCTATGGAGATTCTCGGCCATCCAGTTCACGGTTGTCCCAAAGGTGTTTTTTTCAAGAGGCAACTGGTCTTTTTGGCTTTTCTTTAAAAGACATTTCAATTCTCATCCAAGAAGCTACTTCAGCTCAAGAGCTGAAGAAGCTTCTTGTGTGAGAAGCGACACTTCTTCAAAGAAAAACCAGAAAGACCAGTTGCCTCTTTAAAAAACACCTTTAGGACTACTTGTATTATGTTTACATATAGAATCAAAGCCTTTGGACTTTGCCACTCGCATCCTAAACTCTATAAAACACTGCCTTAGGAATGACAGGACAGAATGCATTTGCAAAATTTTTCTGGAAAGTCAAATGTATTTCACTGAAATGAATTTAAAGTGATCTGATCAATAAAATTCCTTAGGGGAAACTTTAGCCCTATTAACCCTGCAGACTCAAATACCGTAATCAAATTTTGTTATTTTTTTCCCCCTACAATAACTAAATACAGATATGAATTTTAGGAAGAGGAACAACTATATTGAATTAAATGCACAGATGGGGACTTCCAATTTTTAATTCGGTTCTTCACAAGGTAGGAATCACATTCAGTTCAAAATATTTTTGAAATACAGAGCGGGGATGAAGTTCAGTGTTAGAATTCCAAATATGTTGTTTATTATTTCATGCCAGATGATATATTGGTGAAAAATAATCACACTATTGATTATATTCTATTTTAATAATATTAAGAATGAAATAATATTTTATATTATATACTTCACTCTATTGTACCATTTTTCTCACTGCTTTAAAATATAGCAAACTAAAGTTCTGCCATACAAAAAATGCAGGATTTCAAACAAATTCTTTGGCATTTGCTTTAAATATTGAAAATGTCTGCTTTATCAAGTTGAAGAGGATTAAATATGACAACCAGCTTTAAAATCATTACCATATGTGCCTGAGTGAAGCAATTCCTTACTGATAACAACAAAGCAAGAATAAAAGAATTGGCAGGCTTGTAGAAAATGAAAAATGAATTTCCAAGGAGTGAAAAAGTTAGTCAAACTACACCAGAAGCCAAAGATTTGTGACTGAATCTCCATTTGTTTATGTTCCAACTGAATTAGATTTATACTGCATTTCACTGATCTCCTTCACTGTTATTTGTCCTGTTGGATAAAACTTGCATGCCTTTGTAATACTGATGTTAGAAAGTGTGACTAGCGAAAGTGAATTTGAATTCATTTGGGACTTCATCAACTGGATGGTCACCCACAGCCATTGAATTTTTTTCTTTAAAAAAAAAAAGTGGTGGAAAATATACATCCTACCAGAGATCCTCAAGGGAAAGGAAAGGAGAAGAGAGGCAAGGCAAGGCTAGGCTAGCATCCACTTTTTCCAAATGGATGTTAGAAGCCAAATTTAGACGAATCTTAAAAAGCTGCAGAGAAGAGAATGGATTCACATCAAAGTAGTTTCAACAGGGACTACGTCAAACAATGGTACAATGTAGGTTTGGTTTGCTACAATTATTTGATTGCAATTATTTATTGTATACATTTTGTTACTGAAATGGAGATAAATACTAACAATTTCTTCTTGAATCACAGCATAATGGGCTATGAGAATAACCTTGAGGAACAAAAAGAAGAGTCAACATCAAGACAAACTCAGATAAGAAAAAATTAGAGTCCAAAGCAGGAATGTAATTTGAGAAAGCATCTCAGACTTGACCCTCCCTAGTATTCTTGAACGTAAAAGCAGAGAGGACAGGTACAGTCATACCTGCAAGGTTCTGTTACCGTAACCTTATAATGAAAGTAACATTAGAATGTATAACCTTATCTTGAAGGGCTGACACATTATATGATTTTAGTCAGTAAAGAATGAACTTACTTTTGCAGCAATTTTAAGAGAGACGTCTCGAATTGCAGCTAAAGGTGGAAATAAACGGCCCTCATCTAAATGCTTCTTTGATACCTGTTTGCATATAACCTAGGAAGAAAAAGTATATATCTATATTAGATTTATGTATTGTTAATGCCTTTGTTTAAAGAAGAAAAAACTTGCCTTAATTTAAAAAAAAATCAGGAATGAACTTATACGGGAGTTTTAAATGGCAGTAGCTTCATCTCTGATACTATTTTTTTCTAATTCAATGCTCTGGTCCATTATTATATATTATATTGTATTGTATTGTAGTGTAGTGTAATGTAATGTAGTCTAGTATAGTTATAGCTATAGCTATAGCTATAGCTATAGCTATAGCTATAGCTATAGTATAGTATAGTATAGTATAGTATAGTATAGTATAGTATAGTATAGTATAGTATAGTATAGTATAGTATAGTATAGTATAGTATAGTATAGTANCTTTTTTGTACAGCCCTGGTTCAATTCCCAGTAAGGGTATGGCTAGCTGATGAGAGCTAAATAGCTTGAAATAGATCTATACTAGTCTCCCTTTATTAATTTATCAGCACAAATGCAACACAAATGTAACAAAGGCAACATTAAAAAATGGCTTTCCGCCTGGATGGCTCCTAGGGTGAACCGAAATACAGAAAAGGGAAGCAGTATGCTCCCTCCCATATTTGGGCATACCAGGGGTTGTGACACAATACATAGACATACACACACACACACACACACATACACACACACACATATGTAGTAATTGGATTTCTATATTTCCTTTGGTATACGGTCCCCCCCCCAATTGCTTAAGTACAGAATATGTTATTTGTCTTTTATTCCCCCTTTTTAGGCCATTGTAGATTTGCAGGTGGAATTGCCTCTCAGTTACCCCTACGTGACACCACAACTTTTTGCAAGATCGAATACACTAGACAGGCAACAACAGTTGCAGCTCAATAAAGACCTTACGTCTTATATCGCTACTTTGGAACCCGGAGAACTCTGTATATGTGCGACTGTTCGGTGGTTACAGGATAACAATACATTCAGAGTACAAAACAGTGAAGTTTGCGAAAGAACGACAAGGAAAGAAATAGTCAAAGCACCATTTAAACGCATGTGGATTTACAGCCATCACATATACCGACAAGAACTGAGGAAAAAGATCTTTGAATATGCAAAGAAATTAAATCTGACTGGTTTCTGCCTAGCTGGGAAGCCTGGGGTGATTTGTGTGGAGGGCACGAAAGAAAACTGTGAAGAGTTTTGGCATATTATTAGATATCCCAATTGGAAACACATTTCCTGCAAGCATCTTGAGACTGGAGAAGCAGAAGGAAATGGGGAAAGTTTCCGCCTCTTTCAGACCTTTGAAGATTTACAGTTTCAAGCTCATGGTGATTATGGATTAAGGAATGACTATCACATGGACCTCGGTCAATTCCTAGAATTTCTTAAGGTTCATCAAAGTGATCACATATTTCAGATCTTGTTTGGCATTGAAGGAAAAACTCCTGACACTTAGCACAAGTTCATTCCCTCTGGTTCTTGACCAGGTTTTGAAATCTTCAAATACCAAGCAAGAACAAATGTGCTCGGAGGACGGTTCTGGGTTATATTTGTAGGAAATCAAGAGGGAGGATGGGTGTGATTAAAATGTATGATATAATAAAATAAAATCCAGTATTTATACATTTCAAAATGCCTACATCTCTGGTGATCAGAACATGGTAAAAGGTTTCCTTCACACATATGTGCTAGTCGTTCCCAACTCTAGGCGGCGGTGCTTATCTCCATTTCAAAGCCGAAGAGCCAGCGCTGTCTGAAGATGTCTCCGTGGTCATGTGGCCGGCATGACTAAAGGCCAAAGGCGCACGGAGCACTGTTACCTTCCCACCAAAATGGTCCCTTATTTTATACTTGCATTGTTTACGTGTTTTCGAACTGCTAGGTTGGCAGAAGCTGGGACAAGTAACAGGAGCTCATTCCGTTACGCGGCACTAGGGATTCGAACCGCCAAACTGTCGACCTTTCTGATTGACAAGCTCAGCGTCTTAGCCACTCATGACAGAGCATAAAAAATAAATGGTAGGGCTGAGCAACCCTTTTGAAAAAAATGCTTTGCAACGTGTAATATGCCCTTGTCTTCAAATCCATAAAGCAACCATCATATCAATTATTGTATTGATATGATATATGATTGATGGGCTTGTATGGCTACTTAAAAACTGCTTCCAGATGAATCCATATCTTTGCAAGCAGACAACCCAACTAATTCTAACAGAGCCTCCATCTTGCTAAGTGCATCTTTTAAAGTATGTTGAAGAAGATTCCCAGGCTTGCCTGGAAGTTCAGTCACAGCATCTGGACTTTTCTTTTTTGGTTTGAAACATTTCTCTGCTTATCCAGGTAGAAGTACAGTAGACTGAGGAAGCTACCTGGATAAGTTGTGAAACATTTCAGACCAAAAAGAAAGAAAGAAAAGTCCAGTTCGGCGACTTCAGCTAGTCCAGAATGCGGCCGCGCGAGCGATTGTGGGTGCACCTCGTTTCACCCACATAACACCTATCCTCCGCAAGCTGCACTGGCTNTAGTATAGTATAGTATAGTATAGTATAGTATAGTATAGTATAGTATAGTATAGTATAGTATAGTATAGTATAGTATAGTATAGTATAGTATTATTTACATTAATTTTACAACTGCTTTGGTGTTTGCTACCAAAACCCAGAATATATTAGCGTACATCATGGAAATGACTTTGAAGACCAATTATTCAAAAATCACCTTAAAGAGATTTATACTTTTTTCCTATCATACAGATATACACAGTAGTCCAGAATTCAATGTAGAGCAAAGGAAGCAGAATTCAAGCAACTTTAGCTCTTTTTGCATCTCAAAAATCCCTCTTTCTTTTTATCAACCACATACAATTGTCAGACCTAACAAATAATTTCAGGCATGTAGAAAAGCCGACAACTTTGACTTTGAAAACAAACTCTCCAATTTGAAATTGACTCCCAGTGGCTTTAACTTCATGTCCATGTAATATTCTTGGCATAATATACAAGTGATTTGCCATTGCCTTTCTTCTAGGATGTTGTTTTATCAGTTTAGCTTGGCGGGGGGAGGGGGTTCTCCAAAGTTGGCCAGTTTAAGAAGTATGGACTTTAAGAAGTTAGGAGACCTCTGGGTTAGTCTGTGTGGTACTTATATAGTTCCTATTGTATGTGGCTTTTTAGATGTTGATTGGGGTGTTGATGGCTAACTAGTAAGTCATTGGCTGTTGTTTGCTTCTACTGCCAAGCCTTCCCCTCCTAAGTACTTGATAAGCTGGTGGTAAATCAGCACTTCTGTTGACTGAGGAGGAGCCCGTTCCCAAGCTTCAATCACTTCCCTGGCTGTTTTTGTGCCTGCTCGTCCAACAATCTTAGTAGATGCAAAATTGAATGCATGTCCTTGTTCATTGCAGTGTGAGGCTACCAATGAGTTTGGGTCTCCTCATCTGACCATTCAATTGTGTTCTTGCAATCTGGTGGTTAGTTTCCTCCTTATCTGTCCTACATAGCCACAGAGGCAATCCATGGAGGGAATCCAACAGATTACACTGGAATTGTCTCCTATCTCAAAGTGATCTTTGCAATGCATAACTTGTATGGTAGCCTCCGGGTGGTGTGCAAGGCCTACTTGCAGATCTTGGAAGTTGCGTTCTACAGCTTCCGAAATGTTTTTGATATATGGCAGGGGGTGCCATGTACTAGCCCATAAAAAATTAATTTATTTTCTCTTACAGTGTACAAAAAATATCTTTTTTTTTTAAGTCTAAAAGCTGAAAAGTGTTGAATAAATGTTATCAAAAATAATATTTTTATCTTTTGGAATCCACAAGGGGGAGCTGAAGTTGTTAAGAAAAAGCAGCACAGACTTTATATTGGATACAGCTGAGTAAGTTTTCTTTCGCAGATCCAAGTTTTTTTTTTAACTTTTTAGAGGAGGCCTTGCAATTTAGGCAGAGTTACAATAATATTTCATTTGCTTAAAGTGGTCAAACATAATTCTGCTTGGTGAGGCACAGAAGAACGATGCTTGTCATCACAGTGAAACTGCCTATAATTAGGCATTATAGCCGTCTGGACTTAAAAGAGTTTCATTTCCAAACTCTACTTTATATGGCATGAAAATAAGAACACCTGAAAACAAGACTTGTTGCTTACAAGGACCAGAGTGTTTCTTTTACCAACTTTAACTGTAGAGCTTTAACAATTTATAAGATATATAATTCTATACAGGGGGGTGATGGCTCAATGATTAAAGATTGACTGAGATTGTTAGCTGGAAAGTTGACAGTCTGGGTTCGACACCCAAGCACTGTGTAATGGGATGAGCACCTTGCCCCTGCTTCTGCCTACCTACCAGTTCATGTGAGTAGATGAATAGGTACCAATTTGGTGGGAAGGTAACAGTGTTCCATGGACCTAGGCATATAGTCATGCTGGCAACATGACCACAAAAGTGTCTTTGGACAATGCTGGCTCCCTCGGCTAAGAAACGGAGATGAGCATCACCCTCTAGGGTCGGACACGACTGACAAGGGGAAACCTTTGCGTTTACCTATTTTTTATAATACTATATAATATAGGAACCCTAGATTCTTGTTCAGATTTTCCATAGTCCCTGTACAAATATCCCCATAGACTTCTCCACTGACAGCCTAATCAAGAAATAAATGTATTCACATCTCTTAGCTACAAATAGAAACAAGCAAAATAAGAACCACTTTTCAAATTTGTTTTAAAGAATTTCTGATTTTATAGTGGTATTAATTAATACCTTAGGGAGCAAAAGAACCACGAGCATGGAAGAAACCAGAAAAATGTCTACAATACATGTTTGCCAGAAGTGAGGTTTTCTACTAGGAAACCTGTTGCCATTGGACTGCATTTTATACCATATTGTTGTAAACGAACAAGACCATGTGTGACTGCAATTTGCAATTTGACCTTTGCTTCTCCATTAATTGTACTTGTTGGAAACAGGTTATGAAGTTCACAAATGGTGATCACATGACCATAGGACACTGTGTCAATTATAAAAGCATGCCAGGTGTGAAGCATCCAAATGGGGAACATGGGACACTGCAGCACTTAAATGCAAAACTTTTTTTCCCCACTATCGTAACTCAGAAATGTTACCAAACAAGGAAGTTGGTAGGGGGGGTAGGGAGGGGGGGTAACCTGCATTCCCATTTATATGTACAAAGAATAATGAATACCTCTGCAGTAAGGAGAAAAATGTCATCACTTATGTTTCTCACTCCACATGAAACAATGCCTAGGGCAATTCCGGGAAATACATAGGCATTGTTCCCCTGTCCAGGATAAAACATGCGTCCGTCTGGAAGAGTGACTGGATCAAAAGGACTTCCACTCGCAAAAATTCCTCGTCCCTGAATAGAAAAAATAATAATATTGAAGAAGCATTGTTTGATGGGTAAAAATGAACATACATTGAAATGTTCGTGTAGATAACAATGCTTTTATAAAGCGATTATATTAGAAACTACAGGAAGAGCAAAATACCTATTACTTGATGTTACTTGATGGTATTGGACCTGGGTACTTGAGAGACCGCCTGCTGCCAATTACCTCCCAAAGACCCGTTAGATCACACAGGGTCGGCCTCCTCCGGGTTCCGTCCCCCAGCCAATGCCACCTGGCTACTACCCGGGGGAGGGCCTTCTCTGTGGCAGCTCCAGCCCTTTGGAACGAACTCCCTGTGGAGATTCGGACCCTCACCTCTCTCCAGGCCTTCCGGAAAGCTGTCAAAA